TTCTCCTTTTGATCAGCATCCATCCTGGGACAGGGGAGGGGCAGCTATATCAAAAATATAGACTGAACTGAGCCCCACAGGATGCTATCCATCTCAAGAAAAGGGACTGACTTCTAACATTCCTCCCTCTGCCCCCTCAAGAAGTATTCTTCGGATGCCTGTAGGTGGGGGTGGGAAGGCAAACTGGGGGAGTTGTTTAAGACTCTCTATCTTAGTCTGGAGAAAGGCAGGAAATAGCTGGATCCATCTGGGCTCTGAGTCACTTAGGTATATTTCAGTCATTTCGTTGGGAGTTTCTATTTTGGGTAAGATGTCTGTGACACGTTCCGGAGAAGAGGGGGTGCTGGCCAGGGCCATTTAAGCTCTTGTGGTCACTGACTAAATCTTTTCCCAAAGTAAGAAACAATATGGCACTCTTTCCTGGGAGACACCGGTGTCTGATGGGATTCTGAAATGGTCAGTCCAGAGTGAAAGCCATAAGGAGTGGACAGAGGAATGTTGTTATAATTTAAAGGTCTTTGATTTCATCAGTATGATTGCTTCCCCTCATTGACACAGATCAAAACCCTACTGTACCCCAGGATAGGATCATAATGAATGACTCTGACATACATTACAATCTAACTACATTTATATATATTGTTGTTGTTGCCGAGTTGTTTCAGTCATGTCCAATTCTTCGTGACCTCATTTGGGGTTTTCTTGGCAAAGATACTGGAGTGGTTTGCCATCTCCTTCTCCAGCTCATTTTACAGATGAGGAAACTGAAGTGGGTTAAGTGACTTGTCCAGGGTCACACAGTTAGTAAGTGTCTGAGGCCAGATTTTAACTCATGAAGATGAGTCTTCCTGATTCCAAGCCCAGTGCTCTATCCACTGTGCCACCTAGCTGCCCATTTATATATATATAGATATAGATATATATAGATATAGATATAGATATTTATCTCAAGTAGTGACCAACCCTCTGGTGATGAGCTTCTCCAAACTTAGCTAAGCTGGGTCCCAGTGAAGTCTTCCCTTATCCCTCCACTTTGTAATCTTGCCTCTTGAACCTTATATAACATTTTGCTTGCACCTCTGTAATGCAAGAAAAAGTTGTATATCAGAGTTATCTGTTTCTGCCTTGTCCCCCTATTAGACTATGAGCTCTATGAAGGCAGGGACTATATGTTAGCTCAGCTTTGTGTCTCCCCCCAGTGCCAAGGTCGGTGTCTGTACACATTAGGGAAATCAATCAATTTATCAACAAGCTGCTCCTACTGTTTGCTAAGCACTGTGCTAGATGCTACAGGATGCTAGAGGATACAATGACAAAAATGAAGCAGTCCCTGCCCTCAAGGAACTTACAGTCTATCAAGTTCTTAATAAATGTGTATTGTTGTTGTCCTTGGAGAAGAGACACATAGCCCATCATGAAATTCTAACTTAGGACTTGCCAGAGATGAATGACATAGGTTTATAGAATCCACAGTCAGTACCACACTGCAATGTGCATTGGAGAGGACTTTGGCAGAAAGTTCCTTAAGACAGTTATTATAATAATCTGAGACTGGCCCACTGACCACCTGGAGGAGCTTCAGAAAACCCAGGATGAACTGTGATGTTAGAAGGATAGAGGTATGGAAAGCTTGCGAATAGAAAAGCTACCTCTGGGTCTTTGGCAGGCTTCATCGCTAACTTACTGGTGTGCCCTTGGCCATGTCCTCTTGAGATCTTGCTCGGCTCTCAATGAGATGATAAGGTTCCCTCTCCTTCATCTCTTCACAGAGTCATGATCCCTATCCTTAAGCAGCCTCTCATCTGATGGGAATAAATACAGGGTTTCTCCTGGGGAGCATCCATGCTGTGAAGAAAAGGGGGAATAGATACTTATATCTCCTTCAGGTAGAGCCCAGAGACCAAAATTAGTTATTCTGCAAATTGTTGGAGGGACCTGTCCAAGTGTTTAGAAAAGGTTGATTCAGAACTTTAAAAAAAAATTGAGTTTTTTTTTAATGTTGAGCTATTTAATAATGAGGAAAAAAACAAGGAATTTGATGGAAAAATGTCATTGAGTCTCAAAATATCCCTATGGATATATTTAGTATTGGGTTTGAGCTTGGCAATCATTTGTATTGTTTACATTGTTTTTGAGGCTCTGAAACAAGTTTTCCTCTGCCTTGGGATGTTTGGCAATTTGCAGATGTGCCCCTTTCTGCCTCTGAACTTTACCATGAGAATGTAGGCAGAAGTGACACACACACATGTGCGCTCCGTGACAGCTTTGTAGAGATCATCATGAGGATGGCTTGACTGGGTTTGGGGCCATTGATCCAAAAAGAAGTCACGGAAGCCTCCCAGAAGGAGATGAGGTTGCGCTAAGGTCTGTAGATAGAGAGGTACCTGGCTTGGTGGAGAGAATGGGAAGGGTAGTTGTGCCTAAGAGCAATTCACAAGACTAGTCAAATGATCTGCTTGGTGGAGAGAAGTTCGGAAGAGGCCAGCCATCAGAAGTCCTTGCAGTTATAATGCAATGTGTCTGTTGAATGAATGAATGAACAATGGGACAGATGAACAGGTGCTGATGAACAGGACATAGGGAAGGTCAACTAGCCTAATCCCTCCTTATACACACACACACACACACACACAGGGGGTGGGGGCGGGGGAGAGAGAGAGAGAGAGAGAGTGAGCTGAGGTTAAAGAAATCAGGCAACTAGTCCCAAAGGAATGACATCATATCTGCCATCCCTCAAATTTTTTAATAGCTCCTTAAATGATAGCATTGGATTCAGTGACCTCTAAGACCTCTTCCAGTTCCAAATCTATGTTTCTATGACCTGGACCTCTCCATTTCATGTACCATACCCTTCCTAGGGCAGCTAGATGGTGCAGTGGATAGAGCACTGGGCTTGGAATCAGAAAGACTTCAGTTTAAATCAAGTCTCAGATACCGACTAGTTATGTGACCCAGGCAAGTTACTTAACCCTGTTTGCCTCAGTTTGCTCATTTGTAAAATGGAATGGAGAAGGAAATGGCAAACCACTGCAGTATCCTTGCCAAGAAAACCCCAAATGGGGTCCCAAAAAGTCAGACACTGCTGAAGCAACTGAATGATAACAATGCCCACCCTGGTCCCTTAGGGACACTTCGAGGGGTGGAGAGTTGTGTAAGGGGAGGGAACTATCTTCTTCCTGAAGCAAGTAATGCTGCTGGGACGTTTTTGCCTTGGGCACAGAAAAGCATTGTCTAAATTGAATCGATGCCCCAGTAAGGATCGAATAGGGGCACAGAGGTGATGAGAGAACGGAAGAAGAGTTTTAGGGGACAGGGCTACTGACAGATACCTTGCTGGCAAAGGCAGGCAGGAAGGGATGAGGCAATGGATTTCGGGTGTGCTTGGGAACCTGATGATGTGCAATTGAATGGGGAGGTAAAAATAGATGTGGGAAAGAGTCCACTCTGGCAAATTTGGAAAATGCCCTAGTTGAGGAAAGGCGGCTAATCAGCCCTTCCCTGGACCAACTTGTCTGTTAGAGCTATTTTTTCTCTTCTGCTTCTTTCCGCCAGCCAACAATTGTGCCGTGCCCTTATTGAAAGTGTTCCTTTAGCTGTGTGGGGCAGGGATGGAAGCAGCCATTGACAGTTAAAAGGAAGGGAAGGTGGGTTACTGCTGATAAGCTCTCTGCTCCAGGAGGTGGATACTGGTTTTAATTTTAGCAATTTAAAAGAGCATAAGAAGCCAGAAAAGGCTTCCTTCCTTTTTTGTCTGTAGAAGGAATGAATGGTAGGAGGCACTCCCACACACAGAAGGGAATTTTGACTGGGCCCAAGGGTGGCTATGTCCCCAGGAAGTTAGTATAGTACAGTGAAGAGGGCACAGCATTTGGAGGCAGCAGGCCTGAATTTCAATCCTGACTCTTCTCCTTAGTATCTTCCTGACCTTGGTCAAGTCCCTTCCCTTCTCTGGGCTTCATTTCATAAAACAAGGGGGTTGAATCAAGACACTTTCTAAGATCTCTTCTGCTCCAGATCAATGAAATACTAGAAGACCCTGGGACCTGCTGGATTAACCAAGGGTGGGGAACCTGTGACCTTGAGGCCACATGTGGCCCTCTGGATCCTCAAGTGGGGCCCTTTGACTGAATCCAAACTTCACTGAAGTTTGACTGCAGTTTGGATTCAGTCAAAGGGCCCCACTTGAGAATCTAGAGGACCACATGTGGCCTTGAGGCCACAGGTTCCCCAACCCTGAGCTTAACCATGCACTAAGATTCCACAGTGGGGCAGATGGAAGTAGATTGAATTTCCATTGGCTTATCCAAGTGGTGTGAGGTTAAATAATCCATTTTTTTCAACACTTCAAAAGCATCCATGATCATCTCACCACAAATACTTCCTTCACAAACACAGATTTGCACTCTTACTGGACAATTCTTCATTTGATTCAATTCAACAAGCTTTTATTAAGCTATGAGATGCTATGGCCGAAAATGTCATCCCCTGCCGATCAAGCATCTGAGAATGAACATTTCTGCACTGTAAGGCTGGTCCTCAGATGACAGGTTGCTGGGCTCATTCTTGAAGCCTCTTTAGCTTAGCTTAAACTAGCCAAAGCTTATCTTTCTTTCTCTAGCACAGCTTTGGAGAACTTAGGACCCCTTTGAGCACATAATAGGACATAAAAATAGGAAGTAGAGGAAACATTCTGTTGTGACTCCAGAAATCTGCTCCTTTGGGGTAGGTAGGCAGGAAGAATGCTTGAGTTATTTTTCCCCACGGGTACTAGGTTCACATCAAGGTGTAAAGACTCTATGTAATTTGAATTGTTGAGTGGGAGCTCACTCATGCACACATGTGTACAAATACACACACTCACACACACACACACACACACACACTACATCCCATTGACTCCCTTGTGATGTATTGCAAACAGGTTGGAACCAACTTGCCAGGCTGGTGGTCTAGGAAGGTTATTTCTTAGGAGTGACTATGCTATGTTCTCTCTCTTCCAGGTGAAAGAATGGTTGTGTCTGAATTGCCAGATGCAGAGAGCTTTGGGGATGGACATGACCACTGCACCTCGTTCCAAAAGCCAGCAGCAGCTGTACTCACCTTCCCTTTCTCCTGCCCACTCCCCAGCCAAACAGCCCCAGCCTCAGCCCCAGCCCCAGCCCCAGCCCCACCCTCAGCCCCAGCCCCAGCCCCCAACACAGGCCCAGGGGAAGCCTGAACCAGAGAAAATCCCTGGAACAACACAGCCTGGGCTGCAACAGGGGCCTGGCGTCCAGCAGGCTGAAGTGCCCAGAACTCCTGTGGTGCCAGGGCAGCGGGAAGCCAAGAGCCAAGGACAGGCCAGATCCACTGTGCCTCAGGAATCAGGACGGGTTTCCCCTCATCCCCATCCTTCCCCAGTCAAGGGAGTTACTCCAACCCCTGGGTCTGGGGCTCAAGAACAAGCCCAAGAGGGACTCACTGGGAAGCTTTTTGGCTTTGGGGCCTCTCTGCTGACCCAGGCCAGCACACTTATGTCTGTCCAGCCAGAGGCCAGTCCACAAGGCCAGCCATCTCCTGGCAAAGGGCCCCCCAAGATAGTCTTCAGTGATGCCAGTAAGGAAGCAGGGCCCAAGTCATCAGGGCCCGGACCTGGGCCTGGGCCTGGGCCTGGGCCTGGGCCTGGACCTGGGCCTGGATCTGGGCCTGGATCTGTGCCTGGATCTGGGCCTGGACCTGCGACTGGACGGGGACCTGGGCCAGCACCTGGGGCAGGCGCTGGGCCTGGACCCGGGCCTGGAGTTGGGCCTGGGGCTGTCCCTAGAGCTGGGCCAGGATCTGGGACTGGGCCTCGGCCTGGGGTTGGGACTGGACCTAAAGCTGGGCCTGGTCCTGGCCCTGCTTCGGGGCCTAAATCTGAGCCTGGGCCAGGACCTGGGGCTCTTGGTCGACCAGCAGGGGCACCTAGTCCAAAGCAAAGTAAGGCAGAACACCAGACTGCTCCCAAGGCTGTCCCCAAGCCAAAGGAAGTGCCGAAGGAAAAGGTCAAATGCCCACTGTGCCAGGCCGAACTCAATGTGGGCTCCCGGGAGCCATCCAACTACAATACATGTACCACCTGCAAGCTGCAAGTGTGCAACCTGTGTGGCTTCAACCCAACTCCTCACTTGGTAGAGGTAAGGAATAAATCAAGTGCCCTAAGGGGAACTGGCATCCTTTTCAGGGCTTGGGTCAAGCTAGTAGGAAACTAGGAAGAGACAAAATCCCTGTGCTTTTCCCTGATCGATCCTTTGTCCTAATATGCCTTCAAGGGAAGGAGAATTTAGAAATTGGGCTTGTAGCTCAGCTTCCCACTATTTTTCTAAGTGCTGAAAACCTCTACTGAGCAACATTGAGCTTGAGGTGATAGGGGTAGGGGTCAAGGAGATGCTTGGTGTAGTGGCTGGGTAGTTGTCATGCAGCATGATTTCTGATCTGCCTGTCTGTACCCATGGCAGGATCTAGCCTAGGAGATGGTGGGAGAGTGAGGGGAGGGGGGAAGGGAGCAGGTCTCAGCCCCAGGAAGGGGAGAAGGGCTCCATTGCTTCATAGAAGGAAGTCTCTGGTGAAGCAGCTGGTTCACTGGTGGCATGGCGTCCCTTTCCATGAGTACTAGGGTAAGCTTCCAGGGCACAGTGAGTGGGTTAAGCTCTGGGCACAATTTGCAGGCAGCCCTTTCCCCAGAGGCTGATTGCTAAGACTGGACCCCAGGCATAAGCTGGGCCAGGCTGAGCTCGCCTTGGGCCTGTGTCCTTAGTTCTCTGAGGCCTGGTTCTCTGATTTGGCCTAGCTCAGCTGGATTTTTCCCTCTTGCCTTTCTTCTGAATATAGGTGTGAAATGAAAACTAGTATGGCCTTTGGAAAATCTTGTTATCAAAGAGAAGGAACCTTCATATGTCAGCTCAGGGCAATCAATGCAGTGCTTAGGCACAGCACATTTCCAGCATCAGCCTGGCACTGGGCTAACTCCGTGCTATTGGCAGGTTCACCGACTCAGCCTAGCAGCAGAAGAGAAGCCCTGATTGCTAAGGTCATAGCCCCTGGACACCTGGGGGATCTGAGTAGCCAGCCAGGAAGTGTTTTGGGCCCAAACAGATGCTGGAGGGGTCCTGGGTCTTGGCCTCCTGTTCCTGGGCTTCCTACTAAGAGTTTGGGACAAGTGGGTCTTGGATGGCAGGCCCTGAGTTTCTGCTGCCCTCCTCTAGTTGAGCCTAGTGGGCTGAGGGACAGATGGCCAAGCAGAGCCCACCTCTGAAAGTGCCTGCCTCCCTTGCAAGAAAAGAGGTCAGAGGGGCAGCTAGGTGGCACAGTGGATAGAGCACTGGCCCTGGATTCAGGAGGACCTGAGTTCAAATGCGGCCTCAGACACATAACACTTATTAGCTGTGTGACCCTGGGCAAGTCACTTAACCCCATTGCCTAGTCAAAAAAAAAAAAGAAGTCAGAGGAGGGAAGTGAGAACTGGGGCTGGTGGGACAAGGTCAATGGGGGTCCTGAGGAGCCCTGGAAGGCTGGGTCTGCTGTTGGAGGCTAGCTTCCTGAAGCCTAACATTTCCAGCACGCTGTAGCGGAAATGAACACTAAAACCAACACCAGCAGACTGTTTTGTTCCTGGACCCGCCAGCGTGGAGGAGTCCCGCATCTCCTCTGAGCCTTAGCATCCTCATCCCAGAAAGAGGAGTTTGACTAGAGGGTCTTCCTTGTGCCTTCCACCTCTAAACCCTGTGCACGTGTGAACAGATGTAAAGCTACATAAATGCGGAAAGAACCCTTGACTTGGAGTCAGGAAACCTGAGTCTGTAGTCCAGCTCTGACACATAATAGTTTTGGGACCTTGGGATCATGTCACGTCTCTGACCCCAGTTTTCTCACCTGTGAAATGGGGATGATGATTCTACTCCCTGCCTCATATAGCGGTTGTCACAAATGTGCTTTATAAGACTTCCTGTGCTATAAAAATAGGGGCTATAATTTTGGGGGCCTGTGTGGGCCAAGTCTCATGACTTTACTAGTCCTTATGAAACCCCTCATTTGGGGATATCTTCCTTAGTTGTAGGACATCTCTTTGGAACATTATTGATGAAAATATGTTTTTAAAAAGGGAAATCTTTGGCAGCTAGGTGGCACAGTGGATAGAGCCCTGAAGTCAGGAGAACCTGAGTTCAAATCTGGCCTCAGACCAGTCACTTGACACTTACTAGCTGTGTGACCCTGGGCAAGTCACTTAACCCCAATTGCCTAAAAAAAAAAAATCTTTATTTACACTGTCCATTTCAGTGAACTGTATCCCCTTAATTCATTCCCTGCCCCAGGGCAGACTCTCCCTGTGGCCAATTCTTGGTCTTTGTCCAAAGCAGGTACTCTCCCCTCTCCTTCCTCCAATAGTAGGTCATCCTGACGGCTGGTGGGGTAGGCTAGGAGTGGGGAAGGGTGGACCTAAGAGCCGTTGAGATCCTAGCACCATTTTGGGACCTCACAATTGCAGCTATGGATTTGAGTGGAACTCCCAGAATGGAACTCTGGATCCTTCTCAGCATCCCCAGCCTAGCACTAGCTCACATTTCTGTGATGATCAAGAGTTTGCAAAGCACATCCCATAGTGTTCCAGCCCTTTGGCAGCAGTTCTGGGACCCAGAGGAGGTTTCCAAGTAGAATCAGATGGATCAGCTGGGCATAAAGCAATAGGACTTGTATTATGATACACTAACTCCCTTAAAGGAAAAGCTCAGGGCCTAAAATAACTCGCCACCCTCACCCCCCCGCCGCCCTGCATCTGTTGCCCCCGACCAAGCAGGAACATGGGGAGCAGGGGAGGAAGGGGGTCAATGATGGCTGCTCTCAGCAGCTCCATCACTCCTAGTCTCTGTGGGATTCTGAGGTCACAATCATCTTCTCTCCAGGGTAGCTCATTAAGGTACTGGAGGTGATGGCTTTTATAGGAAGGGGGCAGGTTCTCAATAGGACCTTTCTTATTGGCATCCTGTCCCTGGCAAACACTTGGTATTGCTCATGGTGGGGCTGTCCAGGCAAAGGCATGATCAGCAGCAGGTAGAGAAAGTCCTACAGCCCCTTCGCCTTTCTCTGTAGCTGTATCATACACTTTGTTCATGGAAGGATCAGCATAAGATTTAGAGCTGGTAGGGACCTTAAAAATCAAGTCCAGCTTATACCCAAAGTTTGTCTCATTTTCTCCATCTTCAAAATGGGGATAATAATAGCACCTACTTCCCAGAATTGTTGTGACAATCGAATGAGATAATTAATTATAAAGTATTTATATAAATGTTAGCTATTATTATTATTGTTGTTGTTGTTATTATTATTATCTGACAGGTGTAGGAAAGTAGGAAGAAGAGGAAAAGGATCCAGTAGCAGGCTACAGGCTGACATGCTGCCGCTCATCCTCAGGCCCCTTCTGTCCACCACACACTTGAGCTCTTGGGCCTTACTCTGCCATTTCTTCTATAATCAGAATTTCAATGATTTTTACTCTCATTATTATAATTGCTTACATTTCTGTTGTTTCCGCAACGCATAACACAGTGCCTGGCACGTTGTAAGGGCTTAATAAATACTTGTTGACTGACTGACTGAATGACTGACTGAGTCATAGGATTTGAACTTGGAGGAAGCTTTAGAGACCATCCCATCCAAGACCCTCATTTCACAGAAGAAAAACTGAGGCTCAGAGTGGTTAAGCAACTTGCCCAGGGACACACAGCTAAGTAAGTGGTGGGGTGGGGATTTGAACCCACCAGATCCAGGGCTCTTTCCACTATACCACTGCTGCTTCTCAATTCACTTCCCTTCATTTCATAAAATTATACAATTTAGAGAATTCTAGGATCATGAAATGCTAATAATATATGATAGTTTTCCTCCTTTTTTTTTTACTTTATTTATGCTGTTGGTTTTTACACCACTCATTTCCTGCTACACTCCCCTTCCCCCTTTAGAATTCTCTCTAACAAAGAAACAGTTAAGTAAAATGGATAAAATGACTGACATGCAACATTCCATACCCCTGCCCCCCCCCCACTTCTACCAGGAGAAGGAAGATGTATTTCTCCAACCATTTGCCAAGACAAAAAAAAAATCATAGGTTTTAACACTGTATTGGAACCTGGATCCTTCCATTTTACAGGAAACTGAGCCCCAGTCCAATTCACTCCAATTTACTTCAACAACAGTTAGTGCCTACTAAGTTACTGAGATCCAAATCCCAGCCTCCCCTGTGGTTAGAGCCCTTAGGTGTCTGGGCCAAAGGCCTGGCTTCCAGGTGCAGACAGGGGTGGGACTATGGTGGCCCAGTCTGTCAGACTCAGTGATGAGCTCAATGAAACTTGTACCTTGAGACAGAGCCCTGGGGCCTAGCCAGCAGCTGAGGTGGCTATAGGACTCTCAGGGAACTGCTGGTCAGGTTAGAGACTGGAGATACCTTTAGTTTGGTCAGAACGGGCCCTTTCCACCTGGCCCCAGCTCACAGTCTAGGCTGAGACCTCATCTGCACCTTGCTTAGCCAGATGGCCAGCCAGCCCCTTGGGAACAGGCAGGGTTTAGAAAGCCTCGTTTGCTCCAGGTGAATAAATATTCCTGACAGCTCCTCCCTGGTGACCCCTGGACAAGGCCTGAGGAACTGCTGATTCAGTCCAAGCAGAGATTTTTCAAACACTTGCAAACTATTCCTGTCCTGGGTTGTTATTTTTGGTCTCTTATTAACTGCTTGGCTCTGGCACTTGGTATCTTGGCTGCCTGCCCCATCCTGCTCCACCAGGGGTTAATGCCATTCAGGGGCTTCCCTTCACCCCCTAGAGATGCCCCCCTGCCCCACTGGGTCCCATCCCTCTCCTGCTGAAGTGGTAGCTTGGCTAAGTCCTTCTTCCCTTTGTGGTCCGATACTCCCTTTGGGAACTACCGTTTCTTCCTGGCAGAGCCTAGTCAAGATGCAGCCAGGATCCAAGCCTAGGCCCTCTCTTGGGGAGGAGAAATGATGCCTGTGTTCTCCAGGGACCTCAGCTGGCCTTAGTTTTGCTGTTTGGGCTCAGGGACTGTCCTAGTGCCTGTCAATCTGGATCTAATCCTCCAAAAGCACTAACACCCTGCTTCTAGTGACTGATGAGGCAAATGAAAGCTTCCC